AGGCATTCAAAGCACTGGAATATTGAAAAGTGGGACAAACTAAGAAAAACTATTTTCTGAAAGCGGGGTACTGATAAAAAAGTGAAATCAAACAAGATAGGTTATCAGCTCATTCACTAACCAGGAGCATGTTTCTGAAGCAAAACGTCCTGTTCATCGCGTAGGACTTGAGGGAACTCTCCAACATAGACAGGTTGAATTGGATCAGTCTCTTCTCCTTTATCACTCTTCTTCGCAGGCGGGATTCTACGACAATTAACAACAAACACTATCTTAATCAGTTTTTATTCAAATATACTTCTACAACTTACATCCCTTCATTAACAATCAACTAACCACAACCACCCTCACAATAAATGTGCAGGTCCAACCACACATTTGTTTCCCAGTAAGAAAGCTCAATACAAATACATATGCAACATTTGACACTGTAATCTTCTAATTTAGTGAGATAAACATGCCAAGTTGAAACTGAGCGAAATTGCATCATATAAAAGAAAACACAATAACTAAGTAAAAAATGAAAACAAGCAAAAGCATTCAACTAACTATAGAACTACATAATGCACTCCATAGTACCACCAGGATAATTACATAACCATTTCACGGTCCAGAGTACATCTAAAGTCTAAACTAGAAGCGCAGATAAACATCAAGATTAGCTCAATTTATTGAAACATAAGCACAATGTAAAGTAAATTTGAATGTGTGTGTCTTACCTAGCGAGAACAGAAAGACGGGAAGCCCAGGGAGCAGGAGTACCAGTATTAGGGCGATTAGGTATAGGAGAATTATCATCAAGCGGCTTTCTATTCTCGGTGAAGGGCGTCACCGGTGAACCAGTAGTAGGTTTATCCCGGCCACTCTTACGAGCATTGAAATTTGATCTCCTTGTTCCCGGAGAGAACATTTGGGTTAACGGAATGAGAAGTAGGGTTTAAAGTGGTTTGAGTATAAAAATGGCGTATTAATGCTCGCAAGGTTCTCTAATGGCGAACTTCACTAGTAAGAAGAAGAGATTAGAAACTTAAAAGCAAAATCTGAAGAGAGTTTCAGGTTTTTGAAAAATATGGCAGCGGTTAGGGTGCTGCTGTGCTCTTTTTTCTCCGATGGTCTTTTTTTTTCTTTACTTCTCTTTTTTACATTTTACCTCTTCTTTTTTTTTTTTTCATTTTGAAAGGGGAATATGAAGAGCTTTGTTTTTTTTTTTTTTGTTTTATTAGGCATATAATTAGAGCCTGTTTGACTCAGCTTAAAAGCTGGTTTTTGACTTATTTAGCTGTTTGGCAATACTCAAAACAGCTTATTTTAAGTTTAAAAAAATTATTTTAAGCCAAAAGTTAAAAGTTGGGGTAGGGGTGCTTTTTATTTTTAGCTTATAAGCTGTTTTAAGTTGATCACATTTTTATCTTTTTGTGCTTAATATTTTTGTACAATCTCCAAATTACCCATATAACCCTAACATTTCTTTCTTCCATTTTTCCCTTTTCACGTTTGATATAACAACTTCAGCACTTTTATCCAAACGAATAACTGCTTATTTTAAAAATAAGTTTCAGCACTTTTAAAAGTACTTTTTTAAAGCTACTTTTATTAAGTCCATCCAAACGGGCCCTTAGAGCCTGTTTGGCTTAGCTTAAAAGCTGGTCAAACTGACTTAAAAGCTAGTTTTTGACTTATTTAGCTGTTTGGCAATATTCAAAACAACTTATTTTAAGTTTAAAAAAACTTAATTTAAGCCAAAATTAAAAGCTGGGGTAGGGCTGCTTTTTTTTCCAGCTTATAAGTTGTTTTAAGTTGACCATACTTTTACCTTTTTGCCCTTAATATTTTTATACAATCTCCAAATTACCTATATAACCCTAACATCTCTTTCTTCTATTTTTCCCTTTTCACGTGTGGAACATAG